TTCAGGCCCTTGCCCCCCCCCCCCCCATCCTGGGGACTTGGGGATTTCAAGCGAAGGACCAGGGGGCTGTGCTGGTTCTGAAGATTGTGAGCTGGTTCATGGTCATGTAACTCGTGATTGCATGACGATGATGAATTGGCGACGATGGCATGATGGGGATAGTCAGTATCAATGCCTTTGCAGCCTCCCCGTAAAGCAGGACTCAATGCCGGGCTTGAGACAGTGACTGCGACTCGACTGGTGGCTGGACCCGTGACAGACTACTCAGACAAATCCCCTGCACTATGTCCTTTGTCTTCTGGTGCGCTTCAATTTCGGTGTTCAACTCCTGGTCGGCACAAGGCTTCAGGGTACATGCGGCTACAACAGAAACTGAGAAACTTACCTAGCACCCCCTCATAACAGATTTTGACCTAGTGGGGGCTATCAGATTCGGAAACTGAAAATGTCGAGCTGAAGCCAGGACCGCCTTTGGCTCGTCTTGTTCCGAGAAATCCTGCACTCCGAACCCTAGCACCAAGCCTTAGAGCCTTAGAGAGACAGTGGCAAGGCTTCATAGAACGGCCCTGCCTGGCCGAAGCACAAGGCAGACTGAAAGTTAATCTTGGAGAGCCCACAACACATCGACCCGACCTGGATTTTGGTGCTCAAGCGTGTGGTGAAGCTCTGCCCATCTCCTGAGAAAGAGGCTTCGTTTGGTGAGTTTCAGGTTGCGGGTTCGGATGTTTCTTGCAGGCTTCAGATTAAGACGGGGTGGGAGTATCTGCGGCGAGAGTCTCCGGAAGGCGAAACCCATCTACGTAGGCTTCATGGTTTGGTATGGTAGCACCGATTCGATGAGCGTTTCGAGTGTCGGTTCGGTGGGGACTTTCGAACTCTTCAGTTTTGGTTGCAGAAACATGTAAAACTTAAGGTTTTGGGACTTGGGGGAACCTCGCATTGGTTGAAAATGCGCTGTTGGTCAAGCCGATTCAGAGACATGTGTAGAGGCTGTGCAACTCCCCCTCTCCGAAAACCTGAACACCCCCAATTCCGCACCTCCTTGCAAACCGGAAGCCCCAAGAACGAAGAACCTACAGCCCGAAGCTTCATCTAAACTCTTGCCCCCCCCAGCGACACGGCTTCACATTAGAGCCCGGCACCTCTCTCACTTAAAGCTTTCATCCCAAGCCTGAGTCCCACATCCTCGACGCCCAACACCCAGAATCCTCAGAACCTGCATCACCAAATCCCAACCCCGAAATCTGCACAAAGATGTTGAAACACCGAACCACTTGGAATTCAGGGTTTCTCTGCTCATGAGCACCTTCGCCGTCGTCGTCGGGGTCTGACTCGAACGGTTGACAGATCTCTGAGACGAGGAGAACCACCCGGGTGCTGCATTTGCCCTGCAGGCGTAGGGATTGCGCGGTGGTGGCGCATCTGGCTTTGGGGTTAGTGTTTATTGCTGTGGGCTTGAAGGTTTGGGCTTCAGATTTCATTAAGCCTTCGGGTGAGGAGTCAGGATATTATAGGGTGTAGGTTGAGGATGAGGGCTTAGGTTCAGTGAGCTTAGAGCTGAACCAGGCACAAATACGCAGCTGCCGGTCCCCAACAGTTCAAATCAAAGCCAACGAATGCGGACCAAGCCCATCAAAGCATACACCCATCAGAACCTTGAGTGGAATCCCAACAACCAAGCCCAAACTCACACAAACTCAAAAGAACCTCTCCCTCCCTAGAGACTCCAGACCCCAACCGCTCGCACTCTAAACGCTAATCCCTTAACCTAAACTTTAACCTTAACTCCTCAACCTCTAAGATGCAACAAGCCTCCAGCATCTGGGTCTTCGGAGATTGCGCCTCGCCGAGTGCTTTGGGGCCTGGAATCCTGTTTGTATGAGGCTACTCTGAAGGTACTAGAAGGCTACGATTACGGCTGCTCTGAGGGTACTAACTTACATGGTACTATCAGGTTGCCATAGGAATCCTGTATGGTTATGATACGGTTGCCTTCGAAGTAAGGAGGGCCTGCGGTTCTCCTATCACCTTGAAATTTTTTAGCATGCAAAGGCCTGCAAGGAGCTGCCCTGGCTTGTAGGCAAGCTCTGGAGCGAGTTGTAAGGTTTACGAATCATGTCAAATGCACCTGAACTGGCGCAGCCTGGGATCGACCCTTTCGGATCCAGAGCTTCATGTTGAGCCTCCATGACCGTCCAATCGTTGAAAGAACCCTCAAGACAGTGAAAAGCCAAGCTAGATCACAAGCCGGGGCCCTTTTAGAGGAGCTCGCAGTTGAGGTCAATCCTCTCCCTATTCAAACCCCAAACCCAACAAAATGTGGGAAATACTTCGCAGCCGGTGAAAATGAAGCTTCAAAGTCCCTCGAAAGCGGGACTTGTCCAGCCTAAACCCGCGAACAAGAACCCTAAACTCTGAACCCAATGCCTCTCAACCCAATCAAAGAAGACAAAGCTTCTGACCTGAAAGCGAACGAGGCCGCTCGCCTGCGGGTTCAGGGTCGGCTACAATGGGAGTATGTAGGGCCGCGGGGATTAGACAAGAAAAGTGCATGCGTGCCAATTGACTACCGGTCTTCCTCTACTTAGTCATGGACTTTGCTGTTCTTTTCGGTTGGATCTCTGCGAGACGGATTTGGAGGGATGCAGAAACTTCGCCGGAGGGAAAAATTATCTAGGGTGCAGAAATGGCAACAAACGCCCACTGCCTTGACTTGAGAAAGCCACCCCTGAATAAGGAGGGAGCCTGAAGCCTAAAGCCTGCACGGCTTGGTCATGGCTTAGTGCCTATGGTGTAGGATTCTTAGGGGGCAAAGTTTCAGAATTTGGAACTTAAGAGCTAAACACATCAGGAAGTTGTATGTATGTGTGTATGTGAATACGTATATGTATGCAGGTATGCATGCATGCATCCATGCATATCTCTGTGTGTGTAAGTAAGTAAGTAAGTAAGTAAGTAAGTAAGTAAGTAAGTAAGTAAGTAAGTAAGTAAGTAAGTAAGTAAGTAAGTAAGTAAGGTAAAGTAAAGTAAAGTAAAGTAAGGTAAAGTAAGGTAAAGTAAGGTAAGGTAAGGTAAGGTAAAGTAAAGTAAAGTAAAGTAAAGTAAAGTAAAGTAAAGTAAAGTAAAGTAAAGTAAAGTAAGTAAGGAAGGAAGGAAGGAAGTAAGTATGTATGCATGTATGTATGCATGTATGTGTGAGTACGTGTGTACGTGTGTATGCGTGTATGTGTGTATGTATGTGTATGTATGTGTATGTATGTGTGTATCTATCTATCTGTATGTAGGTATGTATGTACATGTATGTATGTATGTATGTATGCATGCATGTACGCATGTATGCATGTATGCATGTATGCATGTATGCATGTGTGCATGTGTGTATGTGTGTGTGCAAATTAGGAAGTGGCCCTTGTAAACGGTGTTCCTAGGCTTCTCCTCGTCAGACGAGGTTTCATCCATGTCCAGGAGTTCGTCGGCCTGTCGTGTGCCACAGCGTCGCTTGCACAATCTCAATCCATCCAGGTGTCGGGCACATTGCCACATACTGCGAAATACTCTGAAGATGTGAAGTTCAAAGCAGGTCTAACTGGCACAGTCGAACGGAGACTTTCGCAAAGCGGAAGGTCTATGTTCCCAAATGGTCAAAAATGGAGAAAATATGCGAAGACAGATCCCGCCTCTTCTTTTCCCATGCTGCCAGGCTGACTCCGGAAACTAGACAATGAATGAAACCTTGACGAACTCAACAGCTGGCCAGCCCCTGCCTATCTTTTCCTCATACGACCCATCTGTGCTTGTTCGAACAGCTGCGGGCGGCACCGAGTCAGAGCGACTCGCAGATCTTTTTCGCAAGATGCCGGCGGCACCTCCACGGCCTCGCCTCAAGGGCTCGGCCGTAGCTACTAGGATCTACCAGGGCACCCGTTCGGAGGTATGTCCACACAGCATGTGCCGCAAGGAGCTGTAGCACAGGCACAGGCACGTCTCTCGCTTTAGGTGAGCATTCGATTAGATATCCTCCTGCTGTGGAAAGCCGATCACCACTTTTTTGACGGGTGTCATGCACGTCTGCGAAGCATTCGCTGCCGTTGGGGAAAGGCCCGCGGAATAGCATCTCAACTCTTCTGATGTCTTGACCGGCCAATCGCAGGCAACAGCTGAGGCCGAGTACAACGCAATCGCTGCTTGGAAACAAGTCTGACATCAACAGATCTACAGCGGCATCTGTGTGCATGGTCTTCCTCCCTCCCAATGTACCTGGCATGGTGCACACGCAAGATCTCTCGGGACGTGCAGCCCCGAACCAGATCACTATAGTCGGCCAAAAGCAGACTGTTCAATCTCGGGCGCGATGCATGACAGCCAAATGTCTCATGTCGATTTCCACCGTTCGAACTGCACTGGTGATGTCCTCCCGACCAGTCCAAGACCGTAGAGCTCAGACAAATCGCTGTTCAAATGCAAAGCTACAGCTGTGCTTCCTGTTGCCCCCTGGCTTGCCAAGCTGCTGGATTGCGACAGGAGATGACAGCAGTGGATCTTGCAGTTGCCAGCAGACTTCACACGTTGGTTTCAGGAATTGTACGCCACATGGACTTCATCAAGTGAAAATCTTTGGAATTTGCTGCCACGTCAAGACGAAGACGAAGCCACTATTGAGGCACCAGCAGCACGTTTGTGTACCCGAAGCCCCAACAACAACCTCAGTCTGCTTCGAATCTCAGGCTTGTGATACAAGGGTCGTGAGAAATGGAAGCACTTGTGACACCAGCGATTTCATTTCTGTGCAAGGGCATCTTGCCCCACGACTCCTCAGTCCAGTGGGCATCCACGACTTCCACAAAATGCACGGATGCCAACTCGCCACGAACGAAGGTCACCACATCTCCGTTTTGCAGGCATCGGCTGTTGCAAGACAGGAGATCCGGTGCAAGCATAAAGTGCTCAACGATCTTGCGCCTAGATTCCTCAGACAAATTTGGGTGAGTTGCAACTGTGCCGGGCTTCGTCGGCTAGGTCAACTGGGGCATGAACATCAACTCAGCCGACCCTCATCCCACCTCCTTCCCGAGTCCCCCACCACAACCCGTCATGCTGGTCTTCTACAGCCGGGGAAAACTGCTCCGAGGATGATATGGAACGCCTCCACAACTCCTGCTGTCAAAAGGTTGTCAGAAATCGAAACACAGAGTTCTGGGTCGACTGCCTAGGATTGCCTAGGAGCACCCGGCAAACTACGAATAATGAAGGCAACTCGGGGTATCGAATACCCAGACGCCCGATCTCGGAGCGAGAAGGGGGGCCTGGAACGACATGAGGAGCCCTGCGTGGTGGACGAAATGGAAAGAAGTGGAGCTACGGGCTTACCGGACGAAGTGGAAAGAAGCGCAGTTCGAGGGCGAGTCTTTTGACGAGAGCGCAGCAGCAGAAGCAGTAATGAGAAGGGTATGAGCGTGATCAGAAGTATTCTACGTTTGGTCCGCGAGCTTCCTTACGAACGTTGACAGGGAAACTGAGCAAGCGGCTGAAGAGAAGATTGGCGGGTATGGATTGGCAGGGGAATGTCGGCGAGGAAGCGGGAGACAAGCCACCCAAATAACCTGAGGAGAGGGGCACTGTCACCCCGATGCAGCTGTCGAACCAAGGTGTGGGTGCTCATCGGGCTTAAATCGAAGCCCCTAGTGCCGACCCGGTAGTCCACACACCTTGTGGGAGGGGAAACGACAGAGAAGCCTGCGACGGTCCCCAAAGTGTGCAGCACGAGAACCTGCAACCGACGAAGCAGCGGGTATCTCGAGATTGGCTTCTTCCTCCCCAGACATCCCAGACACGCAAGCACAAAGGTTCAGGCCACGATCAGCGTTGCGAGCAGCTCGGGGTACTAGCTAGCCTCGGAGGGTTCAGGAGTTGAGGTGACCTATGGCCTTCTGGTGATTTCAACTTTGATGCAGGAACTCGAGCGTCGCACAAGCGAATGCGAGAGCAAAGCACTGGGCTGGTTTCACAAGCTACACATGCAAAGACTCGGCTTGCCATGTCTGTGCTGCACGTGGGAGAAGCTACAGCGTTCCCTGGTTCAAGCACGGAGGACTGACAGTTTGAAGGACATGCACCCAGACATACCCAGACCTCCGAAAACTAGCAACAATTGCAAACATGCTGGCAATCGCACAACTTTTCTTGCACCGCTAGGTGCTCAGAGTCAAGCGTTGGCAGTGACATGCAGCTTACTGTGGCAGTGTGGTCTACTTAGTCTACTTGCTCTTCGTCTGGTGCATAGTGACACGCACGCTACTCACTCCAGTGGTTCGCTATGCCTCGGCTGTACGACTGGCTGCGCGAGTCGAGACCTCCCACCGGAGGGGTCAACAGGACTCAGCCTCACGAAAAAGATCAGGAACTCACTGGAGCTTCCAATTTCGACGTAAGCTGAAATTTGCAAAGCTGCTGGCCGATCGTCCCTGCCACATTTCAGGAAAGCTAGTAGCACGCATGCGCGCTCACGCCCCCACCCACCCACCGACCCACCCACCCACCCACGCACGTACGCGCAGCCGATGTCATTAAGAGTTGCTTGGCTGGAAAGACAGAAACGAAAGGCACAAATTTCCCAGCAATCTGGAAGGCTTGGAGTGAACCGGCATACAAGGTTTAAAACTTCTTCTTGGGGCGAAGACAGAAAAGCCTCAGCCCGGGCCTCAGCTCAATGTCAGCGCACAGAGCTTTCACGGACCGCTGGAGTTCCGCCTGCATCGAGCGACGGCGACTGGAACCCGACACGCAAACACACACACGCTGCGAGGTAGGCCGACACATTGATTGATGAGTTGCCGCACAAAAGAATCCAGCACTGTTTTGACTGCAGTGTACGCATGCTAGAGCTGCGGACATGCTGGTGTGGATGTCCGGTGTTATCAGAACCTTCGCACAGGGACTTCTAGCTGATCTTGGTGCTGCGGGGCCCTTATTACCACGGGCACAAAGTTGAGCGTCCTCCACTGATTGCACCTCACTTCGTTGGCATGGCTGTGGATTGATTGGGTTGAGATGCCCCCCCTAAACGCCAATCAAATCATGTGGGCGTGACCCACTGGCGGAGGGAATGAATGCTTGAGGTGCTGCCGAACACGTGGTGGGCTGGGCCTGCTTGTTGAGGACTTCCGCCAAAGCCTGCCACACACTGACGTTTCAACCAAAGCCTAAAGCGGAGAAAGGCTCGCAAGGCTCGCAAGTGTATCAAAGTTGGCTCCAAGCTCCAGGATCTTCAGAAAAGGCTTCAGCTCACCGCTCAGTTGAAGATGCTGCCATGCCAGGTTGCCGCAAAACTCTTCCAGAACACCCGAGCCCAGTCTTGAAGGGGCTTGCTCTCGATTTGAGCAGTGCTTCTGTCTATCGAAGCCACACCAAGGCCATCTGCGTCAACATCGAAATCACGACCAATATGTCACCCTCAGTACACAACAGAACCACCTAAATGACTTACTTGTATGATGCGCATCCCAGCAGCCAGATAAACAAAGACAACTGATCCCCACGAATTACTGTACCAAGCAGAAGTTGGCTCCTGTACAAACAACAATGCCAATGCCATTTGCCTGACGACCGCGAAGCAGCTCCGCTTGCAGAACCTTGGACGGACAAGTCTTGACTTGACCTTTCCCGAATAGGCGATTGCAGAAATCGCACTCCATCGAGACCGGACACGGACGAACCCCTGCAACAAATTGAAGCACGCATCACGCTGCATGACAAGGAGCCTTGTTCTCGCCCCGGACATGCTCCAGCTCCTGCTAAGCACAGGATGCAACGGTCTCATTGCAAGCTGCGAAAACATGTCTCCTGAGATCGCCTGCGCCACTCGTGCAGTGCAGCCTGTGCCTGCCAGCAAGCTCTCACTACTTTGAGCTGTCTCAGGATGCGGTTGTTTGCGATGCCTGTGCGGCCAAATTTCGCCGCTCCTGTCCAAAGCACAGGACGAAGAGTGTGCTTTGAGTGTCCGTCGGCTAAATCACCAGCACGGCACTAGGCGACCATGTTGAGGTATTTTCTGCGAATGTGAAAACTGAGGTATTCGCCTCTTCTGCCAGGGCTGCCAGCTCCGGTCGTCCTGGAGATTTGTGGCCTCTCTAGATCGCCTCACGCCTCACCGAACTAGCTGCGATCTACTTCATGGTCCAAAGAACGATAAGCGGCGACAGGCTGAGGGTGGCCACCATGTCTGCTTTGATTTGGAACTGCGATTATTGTGGCAGGAGTGGCATCCTTGGATGATGGAAATTGCGCGGCGCAGTGCATCGATGTAGGACATGACCTGCAGTCTTGCATCTGTGCAATTCCTCACCATGTTCACAGGATGCAGACTTTGCCGGTGTTTCGGGTTCTTGCTACAGCCAGTTTGTTCGTGAGATGTTCAGCAAAACAAACCTTCGCAAAATGAGGAAAAGCCATGCTTAACATTCACAGTTTTGCGGATGTATACCAGACATGTATGCATGTGGTATGTATGTACTCGACTAATTACCCGTTTACCCTTCAAGAGATGCTGACGTCTGGTCATAGCCACCAGGTGAACACGGTGGCAACCTGGACACCCCCGAACGTCCGCGATTAAAACAAACGCAGCAGGCCCAGGCCATGCGGGCTTCTCAGACAGACAGAATGCTATCCGAGATAAGATTCAATAATTTGATCGCCCCCCCGCTTCTAGCCCACTAGCCCACTGCCCATGAGTTAGGCTACGTTTACCTCGAGACAAGCGTAAGTGAAAGAATAAGAAAGGAACAGCTTCACAACAGGCTGTTCTTGCGCCATACTTAGGGGTCCTTTCAGTGGTGGCTCCTTCAAGCATATCCATTCACATTGATTGTGTTGTTAACCTGCCATTTAGCTCCGCCAAAACCGTAAAGGACCTCCTCAAGTTCTGCAGTCAGAATTTGGCAATGCAGAAGAAATCTCACTTTACGCCCTCTCAACTCTCAACAAGATGCTTTGTAAAAGGTAGCGCTGCATCCAGCAACACACAAGTCAAGATAGCCCGTGGCAAGCTACGCCCCCAAACCTCTTCTGCATCACGCCCATCAGGGCTCCCGTTGTACTGTGCCAGGAAGCTCAGCACCTGGCACTTCAGCGTTTCTCCACAAAGAGACATATTCGTCCAGGAAGGCAAACTGAAGCCTGGTCGATAATCTTCCACTCGTCTGTTGGAAGATCTGGATCCAAATGCGTTCCTCCTAGCTTCTGGCAACACTGCGGAACGTCGATGGCATGCACTACGCTCTTCTGGCACATTCTATTCACTCCGCACCTGCCACTGCCACCTCCATAACATCAGCCGCCCCGGACACCATGGATGCTGTGAAAACACTTCAATATGCTCCTCAAATCTCTTGATCGCATGGATAATTGCAAGTATGCCGCATCAACTGGTGTGTGCTTTGAGTCATCTGGGTAGTCATGTCCATACCGGGGGCTGCGTGGACTCGTGCTGCGACCGGCTTCATGGCTTCATCTCCTGTAGGTGGCCTGCGAACAGCAATTTCAGCTGTAACGAGGAAACCACTCCTCAGGAAATTGGAATTGGCTGTGCACTGGCTGTACTTAGTCCGGTTCTTCGGCGATTGCTAAGCAACTGCGCTGCTCCAGATTGATGTTTCTCGAAGTTCGGCTTCTTTTGTAACAGAGCATATCTATGTATGCACATCGAGCGGTAACTTCGGCATCTCAGAAATCCTGGGGCAGGGAATGGGAAGCAGGTCACCCCTAGTTACTAGCAGCACCAGTAGTAGTGGTCACAATGGGGACTTCGATTTGAGGTGTGACAACAAGTCGCACCAAGAGCGATACTGCGACAAGACTAGCCCCATCTAGGGCCAAAGGACATGAACCAAGAAGATCCACACGGCATCTCAGTTCTTTGAAGGGCAGTACTTGCCCTGCACTGTCCTTCGAACCGTGTTCATGTGTCTCGAAACCCGGAGTTCGGACATGCTGTATGATGTGCTGCGGCAGAAGGCACTTTTTGATGCTGCAAGCAAGAACGAGGAAGGAATCGCAGCAAAACAAAGGCGGCGAAATTGAAATCTAAGAACACGGCGGTGACGTCACAAAGACGATCCCAATGCCAATTGAAATCCTAACGAATTACCCGCCATCGCCTGACGGTAGTCTTGCACCATGCTGCACCAAAGTCGTCTGGCATCCGAGCTTCCGAAGAGACGAGGAAACATCCGAACCCAGCAACTTGCAGCAAGACCAGTGCCTCCAATGGTCCGCAGGTCGACGAGTGCTGGTCTTATGTTCAAAACTCGCAAGTCCAACTGTGTTCTCATGGCGGTTGTGCTTGATGCATGAATTCAGCGTGAATTTGGAAACTCCAAACTGTACAGGGTCCCGCAGACAGCGTCCGTGACATAGTCACGACGTAGTGGGGCTGAAGAAACGCAACCTCAACTGCAGTTACATGCGTGTGGGGCCGTTGTGGCACCATCTGAAGGCAAAGGCTTGTTTCGATTTGCCCAACACAGAACGCCAATCCCAACTCAGCGTGAAGCAAAAAGTACTTCAATGCAAAGGCTCGGACAGATACGGGATGTATGCGGACATCTGGGAGCCGTTATTCCAATGGTGGTGCTCAGCGACAGCGCGTCAAGCGGCGGAGTCTTGCAAGCCACGGGCTGGACCCCTCAGTGCCACAACCACCCTCCAGCACCTGGCCATGAAGGGCTGCGCTGCTGTGACATGTGGGCACTCCATCGGCCGTGCACGGGCCTTTATCTCGCTCGTTGCCTCATTGCTGATCTGCTTTCGGGCTGTGAGCCGCCCGCGACCGGCCGCCTTCATAGACACTCTGCCCATGCCCTGCCCCCTCTTCACATCACTTCACTTCACTTGGGGGCATGGGGGACTGCCTTCCCTCTCCCTCCCTTCTTCCACACGGCCAGAGGAAAGGCAGTCCCCCGCGCATGCATGCGCACTGGTCGCCTTGGTCGGTGTGATCTCTTCTTCCACTCTTTGCTTGCTTGCTCGCTCGCTTGCTTGCTTGCTTGCTTGCTTGCTTGCTTGCTTGCTTGCTTGCTTGCGGGGCGTTTCCACTCTCTCTCTCTCTCTCTCTCTCTTCCTTCCTTCAGGCTAACGGGGCTGGCCGGGCCCCCCGGCCCTTGGGGCCCCCCGCACTTCGCAGGGCTTTCGGGGGGAGTCAGTACTTACACTCTCCCTCTCTCTCCCTCTCTCTCTCTCTCTGTCTCCCAAGGCCCCACCCCCTTGTACCAGACCTTCATGGACCATCGGGAAGAAACGAAAAGGAGAGATGCCTCAGTTGGCCCGGCATTCTCAGCACAGGCTGCGAACAACATCGACTGCTTCTCCCGAGGCTGATTGATTGGTGTGAAGGTTGGTACGGCGTACATATCTGCATACGTTGTACGGGAGCCCCCATCACTGCCAAATGAGCAGGTCGGACGACCCTACCCTCGCGTGATTTCGCACACAAGTATGTCGGGTCTCGCTGGCTTCTCTGCCGCTGTCTCTTTGTCGCTCTCGATGTCGCTGGCTCTGAGGAAAGCAGAAGTTTGCTAGCCACACTCATTGCCCACATGTTGTTGGCAATGTTGGCATCCATCCACTAAGGCCTGTGGGCCTGTGGTCAACTACAGAAAACTATCCGAAGTGATGAGCAAATGGGTACATGATGGTACATGTGACATGCAGTAAGTGCCCGGGAACAACCCGCATTTCGATGTGCCAGCCTCTCATTGTGCATCAACCACTAGGCCGGCCAAGTTAATGTAAAAAGGAGTTGGCCGGCGGAGTCCATGTGCGTCGCACAACGCAAGAAAAAATGTCCTCATGGTCAATTCGGTAGCAAGTCCATGTCATAGATTAGATGATAGTCCGTTTCCCAGACGGACGGAAGAGGACAGAGCTGGTCAAAAGAGCCTCGGAGAACAGCCAAACCATCGCGAAGAGCGAACATAAGAAATTCTGACTTCCCTGCTGTGCTCGGGCTGCACAGGTGGAAGTGTATGATCCGAATACGGCTTATGATATGATGGTTTGGTTGTGCCTTAGCCACAAGCCTTGTCGTAGGGTCACGGCTGCACCCAACAGCACAAGTCGACATCTCCGAACCACGCAGATGTGCAGGAGCCTCGCAAGCGTCGGCAGCCAGCACATCGCCAACCAAGTCGCCAGATGTCCTGATTCTTTGTCTGTTTCCTCTGTGATGTCTGCAAACAACGACTGAGCATGTCTCAATGTGAAAATCCAAGGACCTAATCGGCAAGTCATGCAACAGTCATGCAACATATGGGCCCACGCGCAATTCTGCGCCGCACCTTTCCCAGCTCGCCGGAGGCGGGGGGGGCGCTTGACGGCTCAGCAACTCATCGAAGTGGACAACCTTCGACGCATCAAAACTAAACATGTCAACAAACAGGTGAAAGTTCATATGCACGCCCCCAAACAAGCGGTCTTTGATAAAACGCGCTGAAAATCGCTGAACTCTCGCACCTCTGACAGCTACATTTGTCCCGCCTTGGAAAGATCTTGTCGAACACCTGGGCCCATCACAACCCCACATCTACACGAGCAGGATGGCATTGGCCGGAAGCATCCAATGTCTAATGCCCGGGCCGTATCGCTGCTGCGGCTTGTCCGCGTACACGGTCATCGTTAACTCCTGCTAGGCTTCATGGACCGAAGCCCCTGTAAGAACAATGAGTGCCATTTGTGCTGGCTTGACTATGGGGGGTGGAGCCCTGGAACTACACTTGTGTTCCTTTTCGTCACAGCAGCCACTACATGCAAGCAATGCAGTGACGAAGCCGCGGGTCCCTCCCGACTGAGCTTTCGTCTAAGGCACATGACTCTGCACGAGGTCCAACATCTCCGGTCCGGTACGTGTGCACACATAGTACGCCAATGCTATTCAGATACCAAATCAAATAACACTAATGTTATTGATGTTATTGTTTTTTACCCTCGGACTTTGCCGCCTGCAAAAAAGTGCCACAGCTACGTTGGTCTTACTGCTGTGCGCGAGGCCCCGAGTTAGGGCCGCAGAAGCAAGCGGCTGGGCCCTTCGTTGGTGGCAAGGTCGAGCACAAGGTTCAACGCCTTGCCCAACAGCCAGAAGATGCCGGCGCGCACTGCTGGCGGCGCGGACTCATCACGGACAATGCATGGCAAACGCCACGAAGCGATGCGTGCACACAGTCAATCTACATGTCTCCAGAAATTAGCATCCGATGCACGTAATAAGAAACAGAAGTAAATGCAGCAGCGTTTGCACGCGCGCACACACACAGACAGAGCCATCTTTTGCCTTGACCGACGTCTGTCGAGTTGTGAACAATTGTCGGGTCCAGGTTGTTGTTTTCCCCGGGCCTCTTTGCAATTGAAGGTGCGCGGTCCGGTTGAAAGGTACACTGCCGCCACGTGCGGTTTTCGCGAGGTGGGCATCCTCCACGCCCTGTAAAGTGCGATGTGCGTGCGCAGCTTCTGCGAGTCAGTGCACGCCCTCTCCGGCCTCAGTTGCACGTTGCTGGCTGCATCCCGGGGCAGGCAGGCGTGTATCTGTATGGCAGGCAGTATGCAATCCCAGGCGGCCCAGTGCTCAAGGCAGGGTGTCGACTTGCCGTGCAGGGGCGGCTTCCGGACATGCTCTGCAACGTGTGGCATCACCATGTCCCTGCGGACCCGGACAGGAGCACGGTGCGAATGGCGTTGCTAGCGCGAGGTGATGCGCTACCATGAGCGAAAGCAGCCATGCGCATTGTAGGTCACAGTTGTGGGCACTTCTTCGCGGAGCTCTTGCACACCCTTTCCTCGGCCCATGCCTTCACGAAGGCAAGCGAGCCAAGGACAACAAAACCTCGTTGGGCTTCGGGCTGGTCGCCTCGCTACACATCATCGCCCAGTTCCACGATCCCAGGTGGCGCTGGGCCCGCTTCGGCAGTGGCCCGGATCTTGGCGAGATTGCCCGGGACGGCATTGTGACCACGTACACGGAGCGGTGAAAGGCCGAGCCGACCTTCCGTAAGCTACTAGACCCCCTTGAACGCACCGGTTAAGGCGAAGGCAACGACCGGAAGCGGCAACACTCTTGAATGCACAGGCCAAAGGAAGCAATCGACCCTCAAACATCATCAAACTTGTTGCTTCCCTCTCTGAATGCTAGCAGCAATCCAAGGCCGTTAAATACACCGTAGCCATTTTGGCTCAAGCCCTTTTGGCTCGAGCCTCGGCTCAGGCTTTCGTTGGCTTTCGGTGGGCTGCCTTTGCCGCCTCCATTCCGCAAGGGCACACGCATTTTTGGAGTGTTCGCGGCATGCACCCACAATGCCGCGTGCCCTGCGCACGGTGGGTTCAGAGCCTCATTAGGCGCAAGAATACACATGACTAGATGCTACTGGTAACACCCCAACTGATTATACTCTCCAAGTCGCCCCGGCTCAATTGTCAGCATGCGTCGCGGACGCTATGCTGCTGTAACCTGTGGACCTGTGGGCCACGCCCGCGCGAGCTTGCGCGAGCACTGCGCGACCTCCAACCCTACCCCTACCAACCGGCTACCTGGCACACTTCTCGACAAGTGACAAAACCAGCCAATCCCGATGTAGACACTCGATTTCACAAGCTCAAGGGCAAAACAGTGTGAATGTGTGCGCACATGTGTGCGGAGGTGGAGGTAGGTGTTACGTTTCATCACTTACCACAGTGACAAGAGTGGAACGAGTGAAAGCGTGGTTAATTTAATCCAACGAATCACAGCACCCTACAGCAACCCCTTGTAAAATAGGTGAACGAAATGAACGGGATCATGGGTTTATTTCAATTAACGAGCAATGGAATGACAGAGGAATGAGGCATGAGTCGTTCGTTTAGTTGAAATAAGCCACGAACGAACAAAAGTTGTTCGTTATGTCTAAAAAAAGAAAATTATTGGACCTCTTCTATCCTATGATCTGGTTGTTCCCTGGCTGGCTTCCTCACAGTTTGTTCCCTTTGCCAGTTAATTTAGCTGAACAGTAAGAACAGAAACGGATGCATGTTTCATTCATCATTAAATCGAGGCAAGGGACCCAGCCTAAAAGACCAGGAACGTAACCGCCTTCAGATTCCCCTCTTTTCACCTGATAATATGAAGACACTTCTTTGTTTTAGTTAAATACAAATCAACGAAACAGAATGCATGATTTAATTAAAACAAAGAGTGAACGGAATCACCAGGCAGTCAATGGTCGCTTGGTTCGTTCTCTTTGTTCACTCCTTTTCTTTCCTTTGTTTCAGTTCTTTTCACGCATTCGTTTCACTACTTTAGAAAATAATGAACAAAGCAGAGGAAAAGACCAAGAAGCCAAGTGACTGAATGACTGGTGAGACACAGGACAGCTGGCAACGGTATTGAAGAAAGAACTAAATTAAATAAGGCAAAATACAAATGAATGACATAAACGAAATGATTGCGTGATTTTGCCTTATCTGATTTCGTCTTTTCTTCATTCCGTTCGTGGTTGTTGTGTTTAATCTTATTCACGCATTCGTTTACCCTCCATTGTAATTAAATAAAACAGGACACAACCACGAACCAAGTGACGAATGGAACCACTCATTTCTATCTTTGTTACTTTCCTTTGTTTGTTTGTAATGAGTGAGTGAAAGAAGTGAATGAAGCGTAGGCACGACACAACAAAGGAAAGGAAACAAAGAGCCAAGTTCGTTCGTGATGATTTTAAGTTAGATAAACAAACCACGCTTCTTTTTTGCATCCCATTGCGTTTGTTTCACTAAAATCAAATTCATCATTCACTTCCTCTACCACCAACCGTCAGGGTTATACAATACAATGAAGTGAATCTTTTGTGTTGTATGAAAACTAAACGTAACAACAGGGGAACGGAATGCTGTGGCGAAGTTTGCTTTCTGTAGTTATGAAGTCGTTTGTTGCTGACTGGCGCCGCGGCGAACAGGCGGAAAAAAACTTAAACAAGATCTTGTCTCGTTCTTCACTGCATTATATTTAATTAAATGAAAGGAGCAAAATAAGCCACAGCACCGGTGCGAATCCCATGCCAAGTATGTTCTATTTCTGTTTCATTTAATTAAACGAGCGAAATATATGAAAGAAGAGAAATGTGAACGCAACGAAAGCATGCGGTGAACAAGGGCCCGTGTTTTTTTTCCTCCCCGCGAAGCAGGCAGCTGTGCATATGACGGAGTCGGGCGGCCCATCGCGATGGGCGCGTCCCGCGCTCAGCGCAGCGGGAGGCGGCTCGGGCCAGCTGGCTCAGCGAGCGCCAGCACGTGGTCCAAGCCAGGTTCGCAGGCAGCGGCGCCTTTGGAGACCCGTGCTTTTTTCGTTTAAAAGAACAACGCCTCGCTCTCTTTCCTTTCACTGCATTGTCTTCGTTTAGACACAAAGAACCGCGGGTGTAACGAACCAGCTTATAGGACTCATGCCCTGGAGGCACAAGAACAACCGAGAAGAAGGTCGTCCGTTCACTGTCATCGTGTGTTCGCTTCTTGGTCGTGTGCTTCCTTTCGCTTCTCTAGTTTAATTCATGCTTTCATTACTTACTTAAACTAGAGAACGATGACGACGGCTGCGTGCATGATGTGAGCCAGGGAGACTGAGAAGGCGGTGAGCACGGCGACCCCCTTTGACACGGCTGCTATGCCCAGCACAGCACGACGCACTCTGCGACTTGCAGCGCCAATTCCGCGACGGTGAGGCCATGTCCGCCTTCCTTGATATGACATCGTCACCCTGCCGGAGCAGGTCCGCGAAGCTACAGTAAGGATGAAGTCGCAGACGATCAAGAGCCCGCGGCGAATGCGTTCGGCTTACCTGATTCAGACGCGATCTACTCCTCTGATCTTGGAACACAGTCGAGGGCATGTTTGACAGCACCTTGCTTTGGCAGCCGCTTTTGTCATGTTTGTTCGTGCCACGTCAGTCTAAGGATTCATGGATTCAAACCCGCCATCGCCGTGTGTTACCGCGTGTTCTTGATAATTGTGCACGACCCGCAATACCAAGCCTTTCGTTAGTGCGTTTTGAAGCTTTGGCACGGCTGTCGTTTGCGCCGCGATACTGCTCGCCAATTCCGCGTGAGTATACGGAGAGCGTCTTAGTTCAAAACCTGCACCGGCCATGTGCGTGAATCAACACTTCTTCTTTCCCGCTTGCAACGTAGCATGGAAGGCGACAGCCATGATGCATCACCAAGCAGCTCTGGACGAGCAACCGAACAATCGGCTACACTCCCCGCCCTCGCCCGCGGCCAGCGCCCGCGGCTGGGGATATTACGCCAATCGCTCATCACGGCTGTGATGATGAGCACTGCTGTGTTTGCCTCGAGCGCCTCCTCCCGTCCCGGCCGCTCAGGGTGCCCAGCTCACTGTCCCCCTTCCTGCATGGCATGCGGCCGGCATTCCATGCTCCCTCGAGTGCCTGGCGCAGTACCCCGCGCAAACCTGCCCCCTGTGTCGCCACAACCGATGTCCAAACTGCGTCCTCGGGGGGTGGTCCGGAGTACATGATGAACACCTGTGAGCGCTGTGTCGGCGTCACGGCATGGTCATGCCAGATCGGCTGTCGGGCGAAATCCACGGTGCGGGAAGCCGTCGCTGACACCAACTCCGCACATTCACTTCCAACGACGCGCC